TTTTATTCGCTTCCATTGCAATAATCGTTGAATTGGTCATAGTCGACGTGGTGCTGTGCGAATCGAAACCATTACAACTATACGTGCCGCTATTGAGTTGATTGACTTTGCCGCCGATTTCAAAGCAAAGACCATTCGAATCGAATTTTCGATCGGAAATTGATTCACTGAACGTTTTATTGTTAATGGGTGTTGAATCTTCGATGAATTCCGAGTTGGCCATTTCATAGCGACTGCCATTCAATTCACTGATTGTAGCGTCATCGTCGTGCATCGATGCAATAACCGGAGCTTCTTTACTCATTTTCGGGAACGATATAGCATTTGGATTGGTGTCTTCATTCCACGTATTGTTCGAAATGCTAAGCGTTTGCTTTGATTCAGTGATTGTAATGTCATCGTCGTATGAGTTGTTTGTTCGCAAATATTCAGCAGTAGAAACCAGTTCCTGAGTCAAACGTTCAACGGACTGCAACATTAGATTCGGATCTTTATGTTTGTCCATTTTTGGTGGTGATAAATTTTCAAATAGACATTCATTTGATACTTCCATATCGACGCTTGAGCTGTTCTGTGAATCGTAAATACTTTCGTTCTGTCCCAAAAGTGCTGGATATTCATTTGATCGTTCCAACAGCGACATATCACCGCCCATGTTGAAACTGTTATGGCTCTTTGTTGACATCATGGACGTATTCAATGCAGAATTGTTATACCCAATTTCGGCCATTGCTGGTGCTGTTATTTCGATAATATCGTCGGTTATAAGAATTATGTTTTTCTCGTGATCTTTCTTCGAAATTGTTGTTGTTGTTGTTGTTGTTTGCGCTGGCCTGTCGACCGGTTGATGTTGATCGTGTGCGTAAGCGGTGCCTTTTCGTTTGTCCTTCACTACGTCTGTGGCACCTACAGTATGAGATACAGTTGCAGACGTAGTATGTGCGTTTTTTGACGGAAAATTCTTCAATTGCTCCGATTCGATACGCTTCGATGGTGAACTCTTTTCGACTGCAGTCGATTTTGATCGAATGCTTCGTTCGATGCCCGCATTGATACAATCCATCCGAAGCTGTCTATCGTCTTGATCGCGTTTTGCCGAGCGCGACCGATGGTGATTCGATGATGGCTGTGAGGTAGATGCTTTCGGAGTAGGCAACTGTGATTTCTTCATTTGATTCGGAACAGTCACTTTGGATGGTGATTTAGTGACAGTCGTTGATTTGGATGCCGAAATTTGATTTGCCTTGCCCATTCCAATCTGGATGCACTGCTGAAGCAGCGCATTGGAATCATTCGAATCAATCGAACTGATTGAACTGTTTGAATCATCACAATCAGCGTTTCGGTCTTGATTTCTAACCAAATCAACATTTTGCACAGTCATTGCACTTGAGCTCTGTGATGATGTTGCATTGGATGATTTTTCTCGAGCCAAAATTCGCGCTTGACCAGCAGCAAATGCCTGTGGACATTTTTATAGATTAGATATTATGTTGAAATGAAAAAAAAAGTCAATCTAAATATAACGAGAGATATTTTACCTGTTGTAGCAACTGGCGACCCTCTTCAGAATCCACTGAAAGTGGGCTGAGGGAACGATGCCCATTCAAATTTCCATCGGTTTCTTCATTTGCATCGGATTGAATGCTTGGTAACCTGAGAATGTTGTCATTTTTTAGTCATGTTTTTCAATACGGTATTTTGATTTCAAACCTACCTATTCACTCTAAGCAGTCCAGCTTTATGTGATCCAACGGTCAAATCAGATAAACCTGATGCAATTGAGTGGTTGTATGGGATATCTTCAATATGAAAACGATTGGTTTCATCGTAAGTGGTTTCAATGAATGAATTGCCTCCTTTGCGCAGCATTCCAATCGGATTTTCCTTGATAATATGCTGTGGTGGTAGCTTGTATCCATTCTCTGACCTTCCTGAACTTTCCGGCTTAACAGGCTTTTTCATAATACCCGTTCGAATGCATTGCTCCAGCAAATCGACTTGGCCATCATCATCCGAACTCGAATCGTCCGGCAAAACGTTATTTGGTTCCGATCGGGGAGGTGGTAATTTGACATCTCCAACTAATAAAATGAACATTGAGTTTTTTTTTGGTTATTTCATGCAGAAGTATATTTAAAATTCATTTAAAACCAATTTAATTACACATATGAATTGGTTTTCATCTTAAATTGAATATTTTTCTTGTGATGCTCACCTGGTTCAATGGTTTTAGCTTGAATTCCCATCAGTATGCAGTTTTTGAGTAAACTTCCGTCATCGTTGATGGATTCATCCGAGTCGGATACAGCCTCACCAGCGTCACAATTATCCTTTGTGCTTGGCAATCTGAAAATTTCATGATTTTATTTCGTTCAATGTTCATATTTTATTATATCAAAAAAATTTCTTCATTCAACCTTTATTTTCAATCTTACCTATGGACTTTAATTGGCCCGGCTCTATGCGATCCAATAGTCAAATCAGATAGGCCTGATGCGATTGAATAGTTGCATGGGCTATCTTCGATGTGGAAGCGATCGGTTTCATCAAAATTGTTTTTAACGAATGGATTTCCTCCTTTGCGTAGCATTCCAATGGGGTTTTCCTTGAAAATTTGCTGTGGTGTTAATTTCACTCCTCCAATGTCTAATCTCTCCGAATCGTCTGACATAACAGCATTCTTCGTGATACCCGTTCGAATGCATTGTTCTAGCAAATCGACCGGATCTTCATCATCGGAGCTCGAATCGTCGGGCAGAATGTCATTCGGCTCAGGTAGAGCAGGTGGTGATTTGATATCTTTGAACAGAAAATTATTTTGAAATAATAATTCATTTTATGGTGCATTTTAATGCAACAATTGCAAAGTGGACACAACAAATAAAATTTCACGTTGAGCTCACCTTCAATTTTTTTGGCTTGAATTCCCAACGATATACAATTTTTGAGTAGACTATCGTCGTCGTTGATGGAATCATCTGAGTCAGAGAGTGCTTCGCCAGCGTCGCAGTTGTTCCGTTCATTCGAGTCGAAAATGGGATTTGCATCACTTTGATCGGCTGAAGTTGATGCGATAGCATTCTGTTCGTCATCTTGTTCATCAGATGCATGGTGCATTAATCTCATTTCTTTGATTAGCAAATCATTTGCAATCTTTGGCTCATCGTCCAAACTGAGATTGCTCAGACTTGTGGCGCACGATATCAAAGCTGGTGTATTTTCAACGCCAAACGTTCTAATCTCATCTTCGAACGGCAATCTTCGCTGATTGGTTGCATTATCGCGTGAATGAGAGTGCTTTTGGCGCGGTGACGGTGGCATCGTTTGAGAGGGTGAATCAGGAATTTCTGATGGTGAAATAATTCCACTTGGCATACGGCTAAAGAGATGAAATCAGTTTTCATACAAAATAGAAGAAAATTAGACAAATGTTTTTTTATTGTTCGTGAATTAAAAATTAAAGAAACTCACCTTGTTTCACTAATAACCGATCCAATGTCATCGTTTAACGGTGGTTCATGGCTGGCAAGCGAGCCAAGTGAACTGTGTCGTGAGAACATCATCGGCGTTTCCAAATTGAATTCATTGAAGGTAACCGTTTTCGAAGCACATTCACCAGGTGTTGTTGGCACCGTGCAATTGTTGCTGCTGTTATTATCATAGTCATGACGACTTCTATCTACATTACAAATTTGATCATTCGATTGAGCCGAAGCGTTCAAATCGTGTGGACGCATGTCAGTTCCATCGTTTTTGTGCGCCGGTAAAATATTGAGCTGATTGGGTTTGTGCGTAAGTTCAATGTTGTCTTGAATGAATTCAGCCTCTTCATGAAGACTGCTGAATGAATCGCGCCGACTGAAATAGGCTGGTGTGCCCTCTTCACAGTAGTTGATTGGTCTCTCCGGTGTGTTTATGCCCGAGTTTTCGGTTGTTGTGCGGCCACTTTTCGAATTGCGGTGCATATTGTGTGCGACGGGGTGCTTTGGAAGCGGTCGTAAATCAGTGATTGATGTTGCGGTCGACAAATGTGGAGTGCCTTCATTATCATAGCATTTGACCGTGTCCTCTTCGGCAACCGAAAATGTTCGATTCTTTTGTGCTTCAACATCCCGAATTTCGGGATGCGTTTCGGAGTAAACCAATGAAAAATTGGTGATTTGATCGGGTGGAACGGTGTTGGCTTCAGTTTCATCGACTTGTATCGTACGTTTTGGTATGGTTCCAGTATGTTGCACCGCTGGTTGATTGAAATCATGACTTGAATTCGACTGAAATGATTTGGTTTCCCAAAATTCATTGTTCACTTTCGAACGTTCATCCGAGTCTCTGCCATTGCATTGCAATGACGAATAGGCAAAACTGCGTTCCATTTGCTGTTGATCTCTTTCGACAACGGTGAAACTCTTTGGTGCCTTTTGATGAGCAAGTGGCGGCGGTGTCTTGGTTACTTCAATATTCTCGCAAGTTTCTGACAAATTCTCATCCAATTCATCCTCGAGAGCGCGTTGCTTGCGTGCACTTAATGTGGGCAATTCTTTCAGTCCCATCATTTTGGCCACTGGATCCAAACCGCTTCGATTCATTTCACCCGGTCGGAAATTCACCAGATTTTTCAATGCAACTTTACTACCGTCCGAAATCATTCGATGCTTTGAATGAATCAGCGATCGGAGCATTGGAACGGCTCCATTATCCCAAAGGAATTTCTGATCTTCGGCACAACGAGCTGATAGATTCCATAGGGTTCCACACGCATTGCTCACAATCGTTAGACTCTCTGACTTCAATTGTTGCAACAAAATGCCCAAGCAATTACGTTGACGCAAAATCTTTCGGAAATTCTCGTTAACCGCAATATGACTGGAGACATTTCGTAGAATTCCGCCAGCATTTTCGACAATTGATAACGTTTTGCTTGGTGATTCGTAAGTCAACATTTCAACTAAAAACAATAGCGCACCGTCAACCATACAGAATTCAGCTTTATTATTCGAACAATGAGCTGATAAATTCCATAACGCTGATAAAATGGCCCGCAGAGTATTTTCATTTTTATTTTTCATCGCTGCCATAGTCAGAGCTGTTACTGTGCCAATTTCATTTAGAACGGTTTTCATATTGCTGTCCGCACGCCACGACAAATTACGAAGAACATTTGCCGTAACTTGGAGCAAATCGTCGGCATCGGTGTTGATTTGACCAACCAGCGCTTCCATAAAATCTCGATTGGCACATAAAAGTGCTTTGTTGTTGCCATCACCTAAAAGAAAACGAATTGATGATTTAGTTATCCATTCACACACACAAAATTCAGACTAATACACTTATAGCAACTGTATAATATTTGACACTTTACGGATTCTATACAACTAACACGTTTTTTTTTAATTAACTCGTTTGTCCCTAGCGTTGCCATATTGCAACGGGTCATCCTGTGTAACCAGGGACCAGAATTGAAAATCTTATGATGCAGTTTTGTTTTTTAGCCCAAAATTAGCTCGCTCTGAAAATTTCATCGCAAAATTCGAAAACTTTCTAACCGGGCACAAACGGGTTAAAAAAGGAATGATTTAGTTAAATAAAAAAAAACCAGAGACTTTTAATTTTTATTTTACTGAACATGACTCCTTTGTAGTTAATAAAGAGCCGTGATGTGATACACAATAACAGCCGACTGCAAACGTTCAACCATTTTCTAAAGAAGATAAAAAGAATTACATTGGTAATCCCGAACTTTTCCGTACCGTTGGCCTGCGTTGTCCGTAGGTACTTTTGGTTATTTTTGTGAATTTTCTTGAAATAAAGGCAGTTAAAATATAATAATGAAAATAAAGTGAAAAATCGACAATTCTGTATGAGAGGTACCCGTAAACCGTACCTCATTGGCTTTAAACTTTCTGAGGTTTCATTTTTTGGAGAAAAAATAAGATTCTGAAAGTTTCATGTTGATCGCATTTGCAGAAGTTTGGTTTTTGGCCCTCAATTTTTTCCAAGAAAATTCCGACAAAAATGAAACCTCAGAAAGTTTGAAGCCAATCGGAATCAATTAACGGGTACCTCCCATACAAAATTGTCCAAAAATCGGTAATTTTAGTCAAAATTTCAAAAAATTTGTATGGGAGGTACCCGTAAATCGATTCCGATTAGCTTCAAAATTTCAGAATCTTATTTTTCTCTCAAAAATTGAATTCCTAGAAAGTTTGAAGCCAATCGGAGTCGATTTAAAGGTTTCTCCCATACAAAAGTGTCAATTTTTTGAGGTTTTTCTTAGGGCAAGTACCCCAGGGTCAAATCGAAAATGGCTCATCTTCGAACTTAAACTAAGTTTATTGGATACAAAACTTTTGGGACTTTCAGATTTGGATTATCTCAATTATTTTTTGATTTATCGTGTTTACAAACAGCTACGACAACGACAACGACAACGACGACGGCACACGAACGGAAAAGTGTCTCAAAAAGTGGTTTTCTACGCGTTTCATGAGTTTTTATGATGATCTAAGCTAATTTTGCGAAAAAAGTTTTCGGGACCAATTCCTATACTTTTCCTTGACACGTTGTGTACGGAAAAGTAAAAAATCTATTCGTAACACGGATACATTGTATACATTGTACTGAATCGGTATAATTCAGTTGTAAAACATCTGAGATGCACTGACACAAACAAGTTATACCGATTCAGTACAATGTATACAATGTTTTCGTGTTAGTTGTACAGAATCCGTAAAGTGTCAAATATTGTGCAGTTGCTATAAGTGTATTAGTGTAAATTTTTTGTGTGTGTTCCTTTAAAAAAATTGCCACAATAAATGGCTAGAGCTATGAGGATTTTTTGGTTTGATTTTCACTTATTCACACTCCCTCTAATCAGAAAGGGACTTCCCATTAACGAAAAAATAAAAAAAGTTATCTAAATTGAAAATCGATGATATTCGAAACAAAAACCACTATTTTCTATAAAATAACTAAACTAATTTCAAAAATAGAAGAAAAAAAGCCAAACTCACCAAACGTCAAATTGGTTAATGCCATTCCGGCGTATCTTCGTAGCGATATGCATTTGGCATCGTTTGGATTGGTTCCATGCACAGCATGATCGTAATAAAGTAAATTGGCAATGGCTTGCAATGCGCCCAAATTGCACATCGAATGACGATGCTCTTCGTCGAAGCTGACTTTCATTAGACTGCTCATAGCCTGCAGTGGATGACTGTCACTGTCAAGTGCTTTGCTATCACTTTCGTTATCCTTGAACTTTTTCAGCAGGTCACAATAGTCCATTATTTGTTCAATGTACCGTAACACCTTGGCTTCACGCCGTCCAACTTTATCATCGGGATGATAATTAACCACATTGCGTAGGGCTTCGCGTGCATGTTGCCTGGTTAAATCGTCTGCTCCGCAGTGAATCATTTGAACAAGCAACGAAATGCAGGGTGAGTGTCTCAAATTGGCACAAGTATGTGGTGTCTTCGATAAATCCAAAAACTTTTTCGACATTTCAATTGGGTTACGGCACCCAACCATCGACAACAGTGAATAAACACGGTCGTCACCCGAGTTGTAGTTGTCACTTCGATCCGAAGTGTTTGTGCACAAATTTACATCGCTTAATTGCACCTCATTATCATTATACTGATTGAGTCCGTCGTCTGTTTCAAGGAATCGAGACATCGTATAGCTTGGTTCCTTGGCTTTTTTGTGTTTCTGTCGATCGGCCGAGTGTCGCCGTGCATCAAATTGCATTTTAATTGCATTACCCTCTTGATGCTCTTTACGCTCATGTTCTCTGTCTAGGCTTCGATGTGGCCGATCATAGACGTAGTCGGGTCGAATTGGATTTTCATCCAAAAAGTGTTTTTTACCACTAGCCGGAGCATTTGAATCGTATGATGGCACATTGTCAGCACTGCGAATCATTTTGACGGGAATCGATGAGTGACGATTCAATGGCAGACTATTTGTCAGTGGATATCTGGGTGGTATTGGCGGTGGTTGATCATTTGCTGGATATGGAATGCCAACTTGTGTGTAATCCAAAAAATGTGGCCGTTCCAGCTGAGCCAACTCTTGCTCCAATGACAATTCGTTCAGATCATCGCTTGATGAATCAACCGGTGACGGACTTCGCAAAGGAGTATAAAGATTTGGTGTCGTTGACATTTCTTTTTTTTTCGTTATGCTTAAATTACACGACTTGGGTATTTGACTCTGCAACTTATACGTTTAACTGGCGAACAATGCGAATTTCCTGTAAAAAAAATAGAGAAAATTTTCCGTAATTTTCGTTGTTTGCAAATCAAATTCAATACGCTTATTGCGCTTACGACATTTTTCGCATACAAAATCAATGAGCACAGCACTTTCTTTACATACACGTCGAAGAATCGTATCGCAAAAACGATTTAAAAGCAATTAGCCGCAATATTTTTCTATATTCATTTTTCCATTCTATTTACGGTAAGGCATTTCTTCTTTTCTTTTCTTTTTCTTTCTGTGATATATTTCTATTTCCCTGCAGCGTTTTCAATAAGTTTTGACGTAAACGAGTGTGGAAAAAAGAAACAAACAAACACACAACACTTTGTCGATATTCTGTGTTTTTTTTGCTTCAGTCTTCTTTATTTTTAGTCGTTTCTTGTATTACTTCATTTCTACTGTCATCCATTTTCTGATATATATATATATATATATTCTCTCTTGTGCATTCGACACACAATTGTGTATATTGGCTATGCGTATGCTCGCATCTCATCATTCAATATGTATAAATCCTATATGTATATTCAACCTTGCGCAGAGCGAGTGATATGGATTTTTTTTTCGTTCGTTCATTCTTTCATTTGTATCGCCTTTTCTCTCTCTATCTGCGTATTCTCTCTCTGCATGAATCTATGTGCCGAAAATGCACTCTCTCTTTCATCGTCTGCATACCAAATGTAGTGTGTATGCGAAGAACAGATTCATCGACCAACCCCATTCGACATACACAAACAATTACATGCGCACTACAAACAAACCGAAAAATGTGGAAAATATTCTCTCTCTCGCAAAAAAATTCAATATTCGTATACTCACTTTGCGTAGCAAATCCATTTCATTTTTCATTCACTTTACATCTTCGAAAAACAGATCGCATTAAATTTTTTGCGTTCTAAATCAATTCACACATGCAAACAAAACATATAAACGATATTTTTAGGCAATCAATTGATGGGCTGTGTGCAGTAGCAAAGCATACAAATGATACACACGCGTTTAAAAAAAAACATACACTAGACAAGATAATATTTATTGTGCTTATGGCTTCGACGACCAAAACCAAACTAAAGAAGAAGAACGAAACACTGCATCCGAACAACCGAACAGCACAAGTGATACAAATGCGTGGAAAGAGACACAAAAACAAGACCGATACAATGAGCGTTGACAGCTGATCACTTGCTCGAACCCAAATGCAGATGGCGCTGCGTGTCACATTCTATTCAGAAGAAGAGCGCCTTATTTGTATTAAATGAAATTATGGGAACGATCAAATGAATACAAATAAATACTGAACATTTCTTTGCTTTGAATTCTCTTTATTTATTGCGTTATTCATTCTGTTGCAGACAACCGGAAAGTGATAAAATCGAAATTGTTCGAATTTTATTTGTTTATCGATTTGCGTTATTTATTTGGATTCGCAATTCAAGATACCAAATATGTCATATGAATGCATTGTGTCGCATGCTAATTGTGATTCACATTTTGACATTCCAAACACATGATTTCATACAAGTTGACATTATCGCACAGCAACACTTATCACGATTATAAATTTGGAAATGATTACACAAAATACAGCAGAAAAAAATGAATCAAACAGAAATTAGTTGAATTTTTTTTTTATCTTGAATATGATGCTATGTGCCCAAAAACCATTGGAATTTAAAATGATGATAAAAATTCCGGCGAAAACTTTCCGTGAGGCTGTTCAAAACTAAAAAATTCTGCATAAACGCGAAAATGAAGCAGTTGCTTGGCTTGAATGCACTACAAAGTATGCAATCTATGTAACGGCTTGATTTGAACAAAAATCAAATACGATGTTTTCCATTCTACTTTGATTTTTTATACTTCAAGCTACATTATACTGAAGCAATAAATGTAATAAGTGGAGTAGAGATAAGAGTTGGTGATATGAAAATCAATTTTGAAATATTTATGCGTGAAATCATAAAATCCCAAGGCAAAACATGAGGTTTGTTTAATTTTATGTGCGAAAACCTTTTCTGACGAATAGTTTGCAGTTAATGAATTCAATAAATTATAAATAATCTAAAAACGTAATAAATTGAGTTAAATGAAAGATTTTAAGTGAATTGTTCCAATTTGAAACCAATAGACACTTTCAGTTGGCCTTCCTCACGCTAGTATCATTCAACAAATGTGAAGAAACAAATCAACGTGCAGTACACAATGTGTTCGAATTTTTTGAGTCAGTTGATTAAATCTGATACCTTGAAAATATTACACAATTAGGCTAAGTATCTTTCGGTGCTACCATGCAATAATTTAAGCCAAAATACGATCGATATATTCTTAATATTTCATATTTATTTTCCAACACGAAAATTTCCACAGTATTCTCAGTTATTTAGTTTGTTTAGGAAGCAAATCGAGAAAGCATAAAAATGAATCCACGAAACTATTTCAAGTCGAAAATTTTCGAAAAATTCCAATCAACAGTAAGACTCGCCTCGCCAATTTATATCCTTTGTAAAACGAAATAAATGATTTGTTTCTGTTTAGATGGAACTCATTCTATTGTCGATTCGAAGGTTTTTCACGGTATATTGTGATAACGGCAATATTCACGGCTTGCGATATTTCACCCCTTGCGATATTTCACCCCTTGCGATTGCAGGCATTGTGTTGAGTCCGTATTCATGCTTGTATGGATAAGCTATACTGTCTGTTTCAGGCAAGCATGCGTTGCATTAATGTGTACTCACGCTTGCCGTCTCGCATGTACGGATGACGCAACACTGAAGCATTTACCAAACCTTAGTGATGAAGAGTAACAATGTAAAATAGTTCATTTTATGTGGCGATGTGATGAATTGATACACGCAATTTTGCAGAAATCGTATGTTGAGTGCATTGGCACACGTTTGTCCTCGTCTGCCGGAATTAATTGAGTTCAAGAACAATTTCACCAATGCAAACATATACCAAATCGGTCCATATACCAAGATTAAACGGTTTTGTATTTGCTTTCGGCACGAGAATTTACTTTGGAAAAGTTTTTTCCATTTCATATGAATAAAATACCAGGAAAATAGGTTTGAATAAAGAAAAAAAAATGAATGTTTTGAATTTTTTTCACTTTAATGATAGGCCTTTAATTGGTGAACAATGAATACGGATCACACATTATGTAAGACACTTATGCATGACCAGTCAAACAGAGAGTTCTGGATCTTGTTTTTTTTTTAATTTCACATTCACTCGTTATCATTTTTTCTTATCATACATCTCAATTTTGAATATGCGAGAGCGCTTTTCGAATACTGACGCAAATACTTAAAAAAATACTCTTGAATTCTTACCATAGAGAACTACAGCAACAGTTTGAAAAGTCAATTCTTTCGTTTTTTTACTACTACGAATATTAAAATCTATCGCTCTTATTTTATCCTGAGCACAATGTTCAGTCAGTTATAAATATTTTTGGAGAACTACCTTTTTTACAGGGAGAAAGTTATGTGTGTCACATTTATTTTGTTTTTTTTTCGCTGGATTATATCAATTTGTACTTTTTATTCATTATTTTATCACAATCTCCCCTTCCAATTTCTCAGTGTTTCATTACTCAGGATGTTGTCATCTTTGAACTTAATTCCATTTCATTTGAAAAAAAATCTCATGTGTGAAGTTTGAAACGAATTGATTATCAAATGGCTTATGAATATCGTGAAACTCATGTACAATGAAGCACCGTTACACGTCTGTATATCTGTCTATATTGCCCAGATCACGCACTATCCGATATATTTACTATAGATTCTCTCTTGCGGTTACGAAAACAAGTATCAGCTGGACAACAATATGGATAAAAGGCGGCATTCCAGTGTTTGAGTGGAATTCTCAGACTGGAGTTTTAATAATGCTAATTTCGTTACTTTCGCACATTTGGCCGTTCCCCTCTCGCAATAAAAACAAAATCCAATATGAAGTGTACACACGCAATGACATCACATAAAATTTTCTCTTTTGTATTTTAATTAAAAAGCGACACTGGGTGCAAGTGGTGCACTGAATTAAATTCCCCAGCGCATCATTCATCGCCGTTATTCAGTCATTCACATAATTTTTTGGAGTAATTAATTTCGAAACTACGTAATATCAACGCGTTGATAACTAGAACAGTTGATTTACAATTTTCAGTATGAAAGTGTTCGCTGCCAAACAATGTGTTCGTATGCAGTTCAACTTTGTCAAGAATAGAAGAAAATAAGTGAAAATACAAATCAAGTTAACTGACCAGCAGTGTGTTCAGAGTGAAAAAGGCTGAAATTTAATTTTTTTTCTATTCAAAAATCATATTTCGAGCGAAAGAATTTCTTTGACGTAAATCATGCGTTGCATTTGTGGTGCTTTTCGAAAAATGCTTGTGTTAGAGGAAGGACAAGCAAATGAACCAGAAGATTTGAAGCAACCAGCAGATGACGGAGAAAATAAAGCTGACAACAACAACGAAAATCAAGATGATGATGAAGAGTTGGATTTCAATGAGCAGGATTTCGATGCATTGCGAAAAGATTGTTTGGACAATGGCATTCTTTTCGAGGATCCAATGTTTCCGGCTGTCGATTCTTCATTACAATTATTTTCAAAGGAAATTAATGGACGGCAGGTGGAGTGGCGGCGACCGAAAGAAATTGTTGACAATCCACAATTTGCCGTTGATGGATTTTCGCGTTTCGATGTAAAACAAGGTGAACTGGGTGATTGTTGGTTTTTAGCTGCAGCAGCCGCATTGACACAAAATTCAAATCTGTTCGCACGCGTGGTGCCACATGATCAAACGTTTGACGAACCAAACTATGCGGGCATTTTTCATTTCCGATTTTGGCAGTATGGTCGATGGGTTGATGTGGTTATCGATGATCTATTGCCAACGTATCGAGGTGAACTGTTGTACATGCGATCGTCGCAGGACAATGAATTCTGGAGTATTTTACTGGAAAAAGCGTATGCAAAATTACATGGATCGTATGAAGCGTTGAGAGGTGGTTCGACATGTGAAGCAATGGAAGATTTTACTGGTGGCGTGACTGAAATGTATGAACTGAAGGAATCTCCATCGAATCTATTCAACATTTTACTAAAAGGATACGAACGTAATTCGATGATGGCATGTAGCATTGAGCCGGATCCAAATGAAACTGAAGCTGAAACCGCACACGGTCTAATACGTGGACATGCCTATTCAATAACAAAGATTGCACTCATGGACATTGTCACACCGAATAAATCGGGCAAAATACAAATGATGCGCTTGAGAAATCCATGGGGCAATGATGCCGAATGGAATGGTCCATGGTCTGATAAATCGGCCATATGGCGTCTTGTTCCGGACGATGTTAAACAAGCCATTGGATTGAATTTCGATTCAGATGGTGAATTTTGGATGACCTATCAGGATTGGATGAAACATTTTGATCGTATCGAAATTTGTAATCTAAGCCCAGATTCGCTGTGCGATGAAGATGAAGATGAACAGCTGAATAGTGGTGACAAGAAAAAATGGGAAATGTCCGTGTTTGAAGGTCAATGGATTCGCGATGTTACAGCCGGTGGCTGTCGTAATCATTTGGCAACATTTTGGAAAAATCCACAGTATGTCATCACTTTGGAAGATCCAGACGAAGAGGATGATGATGATTTGTGCACGATTATCGTTGCTTTGATGCAGAAACATCGACGGTCCAAACAAAACAAAGGCATGGATTGTTTGACAATGGGTTTTGCCATTTATCAACTCACCGAAAATGAATTTGCGGCAAACAAATCACGCGAATTGGACTTTTTCAAATATCATGCATCAGTCGCCCGATCACCGGCCTTTGTTAATTTGCGCGAAGTCAGTTGCCGATTTAGGCTTAAACCGGGACATTATTTGATTGTACCATCGACATTTGAACCAAATGAAGAAGGTCAATTTTTAATTCGATGCTTCTCCGAACATAAGAATATCGCTGAAATTCAACAATCCAAAATTTAATGCAGACAAAATGTTTTAGCTATGGATAAAAAATAACAACGTGCACTTGATATGATGTATGCTATTTGAATCACTAATTAAATTTTTGCTGTTGACACAATGTGAATCATCCAAAACATCGTTATTGTCTTTTGATATTTTAATAAACTTTTTTGAAATTTCCACACGCACTCAACCACAGCAAAGCATACAATGTAGTTTTTTTTTTGAGTGCCAATCAAATAGTATACTCACTTTGTACGATGACATTCATAAATATTTTCATCAATTTTTACACTCAATTTGAAACTTATCAAAAAGGCACGCTCTCAGAGGTAAACACAATTATCGAAAGAGGCAATTAATAGATGACACCACAACATAAGTTTTTCTTCACGAATATTTCTTTATTGATTGATATATTGTGTAGTGTAAACCTAATTTACAATCTTTTGTTTTTACACATTTAGAAATATGCGGAGAAAATGGATTTTTTTTTTATTGATGCACATAATTGGTCATATAAACAATAGAGAAAAAATTGTAATTTTCACAATTAAACTGTGTTCGTTTTCAATTCATCAAGATTACTTAGTCGAAAATTTGATGGAATCATTTTTGAAACTTGATATGAAAATAAAGCATCAATATGAATTACAGATTTGGATTAATTTTTACCAGATTCTTTACCAGATTCTTTACTCGATTCTTTACTCGATTCTTTATATGGTTGATTGAGAAGTTTTACGAAAAAGTTGCAAATATCGTCGAGTTCAATATTCCAGGTTATTTCATCGTATCTCCGTAATAATGCGAGACATTTTTCCTTCAGAATGTCACATACCTCAGCGTCGTCAAACTCATAGTGTTTCATTTCGTAACCCAAATCGATGTATTCTGGATCTGCTTTTATGTATTCTGATGATATGGGCCACTGGGAAGAGCATTTGATGCATTTACAGCGAAAACCATACACACTGTACAATATGTCTTGACGCAAATATGCTGGTTGTGACCAAAAATCTGCCATACCATAGGTAACAAACAGTTGTTCTCCCTTTTTGATTTTACGCGATGCAAAGCAAATCGTTTTATTTGCGTCAAAATATTGTAGCAAATTGGGTGCACAAGAGTGGTTGAAAAGTTTTTGAATCAAAAACATGCCGCCGGTCATTTTGTTCTGGAATGAATTGCATTTCACAATGTAAAGATGATACAACAACAGATGCTGAAGGAAGCGTTCTTCTTCATTTGAATGGACCTTTTCTTTTATCTCTTCAATAGACATCAGTTCACTGTATACTTGATTGCTGGTATCGTGTAATTTCTTTTTTTCCTCATCAGATAACCAAATACCGCATTGTAAGAATGCGCGATATTTGGATACGTCGTCAGCCATTAATGACGGTGCATCTTTCTCTTCATCAATGATCACACTTTCGACAAACTTAGTCAAAGCGTCAATCGTTCTAAAGGTGTCTAAAGCAAATACGAGTGTTCGCACCACGAACGTAGTAAAGTGATCAACTTTATCAATAGCCTTGCCACAGCACGTTTCATGAAAATAGTCCCTCTGATAACAGTCTTCATTACAAAACATGCTGATGTTGCAATGATTGCAAGCGACAAAGTTCATTTCCCCTTTGAAACATTTGCTGCATAGCATTTTATCTGCTGACATAACTGCCGTACTCACAAATGCTTCTTCAGCTAAAACCACTTTTCCCACATCGATGTCGCATGTCGCAACAACGTGTCGTCCGAACTCTGGATTGCATTCAATTTTCAGCACATTCGCCATTCCCGGGAACAATTTATCCTCCGGGAAATCCAATTTTACTTCTTTGCTTTCAATTTGTTCTTCTTCCTTTATTTTATTCAAACAGAATGCACGACGTGTCATCAACTTGGACATTAGCCGATCCGGATAATTGGCTTGAATTGCCGAGTTGATATCGATCAGACACTTTTTGTACATATTCAACTTGAGAAAGCAAAGCGCACGGTTTGCATATGCTAAACTAATGTTCTCGGAATATGGTTCTGCGTTGCACAAACACTTGTTGTATAAATACATTGCTTCATGCCAATCCTCAGTTTTCACTTTTTCATTTCCATCGAAGCGAAACTTTTTTGCCCTTGCGTTTGATTTTTGTTTCACTCGACTCGATTGGTTTTTGTTTTGATTTGGACCAAAATTCAAATCCTTCATGCTTGCATGTAAATGTTTGTCTCCCTTTCCAAGGATTGGTGAATATGAACCATTTGATTCCTTTTCCCACAGCATTTTCAACGATTTATTTGTCACACTTCAAACGACTGAATGAACGGAAAAAATATTTTACTTGAATACACTTTTTGTTCATCAAAACGAACTGAGCATTAAATACTCACTTTTTGAGATTTTATCACCGAATCCCGAACTGGATGCAGCTATTTTTATTAGCCTGACTCACTTGTACGTCAATGTTTTACGGTTTTTTTTTTTTTTAAACATGCACTAGATTTGTGATTAAGTGCGTGCAACCACGTATGAAATCAGATTACGACTGGACCAACTTGTTCAATTATCGCTTGATTTTATATATGAAGTGGGTCACAGATTTTACTTATGACTCAACTTGTAATCAGAACTGTAAGTGGGGATAGGTCGTTGAAAATTTTTTTCTTCAGAATATTCAGAAAAATAGATTTTCCTGAAATTTTTTTTAAGTAAAAACTCTTTTCAACAATGCTGTATCAATATATCGGTGTCTACTTTATTATCCACGTAATATCGAAATAATCCTTTAAATGCCCCGTTTCAACAAACACACTCCACGTTTTATTGTTGAATTTCTGGAATTGAACATTTCTTCGAAAACGCTTATGCTATTTATACAATGAACTTTATCACATCGTTATCATGTGACTTGTTCTGAACGGTTGAAATCAGTCCAGTAAATTCGGTATGCCTCGCAATCAAAATCAGCATATTTGGCAATACTTTATATTTGATATATTTCTTATTAATGCCCACGTATGAATACTTCTGACTAACCAAGTAAGCCAATTAGAATTCAAAACTACATTTATGCAACAAAACATTCAATCAAGAATAATTGACTGCACGCGGTATTGAGTTTGTCGTGCTTATCGCATTCAAGATAAGAAAGATAATAAACAAATTTATACTTCCAATATGTTTAAATTTTGAGCGATATCTCGTGGAGGCAAATTGAGTTATTATCAAAAATGTCACCTAGCATGGAACAAACGAAGAAATTTTCAAAGAATGACTTTTCTGACCACATATGGCGCTGTAACTCCCTTCACAGCTAGAAAACCGTTCTGAAAATTTAATGGCAGCTTCATGACGATGAAACGAGACTCTCAGCCAATTTTGAGCGATATCTCGTGTGGGCATATCGAGTTATTATCAAAAATGTCACCTAGCATGGAACAAAAGAATAAATTTTCAAAGAATGACTTTTCTGTTCACATATGGTGCTGTAGCTCCACAGCAAGAAACCCTTTCTGGAAATTTTGTATCTTTTACACAATGATTTCGAAATTTGTTTCACTTTGTGCAATTATAAAAAATTAAAATAATTGAAATTGTTGTTTTGACACTTTTCCTTCAAAATGATGGGTTGACTATGAATTCTCTGCGTGCATTGAATAAAAAAATTCATGAAATTAAGTATATAATCATAGCATATTTATTTCATAATATAAAATATATACTATTATGTATGAAGAAGTAATAGCAGCAATAACAGACAATTGATTTGAATTCTACAATTTATCTAGAATTTTTTGGAACCATTCTTCATTCGAAAAAAAAATCGATTTGTGGAAAATACGTTTTTTGACCAAGATTTGAGTTGTTCCATTCTATAGCAGTTTTTCGATTGCCAATTACTCAAAAAAAAATTGTTCACAAATAAAAAAAGTAAAAACACTACATTAAACTACATAAAATCTACAATTGAAATCGCTCTACCCGAAGTCATTTCGGCAAATTTTCCAAGATTTGAATATTCATCTCAGCAAATAACGCCACAAAATTGGAATCGACAAAATTTGAAAGAGCGAAAAATGAAATCATCGAATGGGCAAAAACAATAAATTTTGAATGATATCGTTGGCGCATTAGCGAAACGGTACGGTAAATCTTGTCTCTTTGAAGAACAGAAAATTTATAACGTGGAAAGATTCAAAAAAGTAACGGAAGCTGAACGAAAAATTCCATAGTGAACAAATTTAATATATCTATTGATTCTATCTATAGAATATTTTACACAAGGTCTCATGAAATGTGAATGAAAAAAATGATTTTTCATTTTGAAAAACGATTTTTGTTCAATCATTGTCATTGTTGTCTCATTAGCAATTTTTATTCAATAAATTCGATCAATTGTTTCAATGAATGAAGCAATTCAAAGGCGATTTTATCAGTGCGCGTGTGTATTAGCAGCTGCAATTATAAGCATCGCTCAAGTCCACTCACTAATACACGCGCATCTTTCTTTATTCACTTTTTTGCATACTCGTAAAGCGAATGCTGACATCCAGCTGGATGTGACATCGAATCGTTCGACGTAATGTCGCGCTTGAGATTATTCGCGAAAAATTTCGCAAAGACACGTCTGAAAATAAGACTTTGTTTGATTTATCTCTTTATTCAGATGTCGAAGTTTAAGAGAGGCAGACAAACCCTTTATCATGTGCTGGTTCCTAAAGGTGCAGAGAGTGCTGCAAAAATGAAACCATTGGATATTTTTGCGTGCCTATTTCGGAAGGAGATATCAGTCAATGTGATTTGTGTATACCTGAAAATTGTCAAAATATATGATATCGAATCGAACAACGATTAATTTAATTTTCTGCATCACAGTTCGATGAAATTTGGTTTCTGGGGAGTTTTAGAGCAAATGCAGTGATTAACGATGGAAAAAATGCGATTTTCCGAAAAACTTAATTTGAAGTTTTCTCTCGGCGCATAACATCTATCAAAATCATTCAGAAATTTAAGAAAAAATCCACGCAAGGCTCTACCCTCTAAGGGTTAACGGATTGATATCCTTCTTTTTTTCGATGCCATTTTGTTAAATTCTGAGTGGCAAAAAAATGATTTAGTAACGTTTTGGAATTTCGACGGGTCCGATTATCGAATAAGCATTCAAAACGATCATAATGGTTACAGTTGAATTGATGTTTCTATTTACGTTGTTTGTGATTTGTCAGCGGCGACTAGAATGTAAAAGTGAACAAGGGATCGATTGGTCTCTTTACCAAAGAGTTCATACTCTTCAAATTGGATTAATCCAGAATGAAAACTTGGATAAATACATGCGTATTGGAGCGTATTGGAACAACGACAACACAGCATTCATCGATGATCAAACTAAAGTCAAACGATCGTATAACACTGAACAATGCATTAAAGATTTGAGAACGATTCAGGAAGTGTCCAATGATGGAACAACCAATTGGGCGAATGAAAGTAAGCAATATTCTGCAATTAAAGTAGCGAATTTATTTTTATCTTAATCATTTTGTAACGTAAGTGTTGGGCGCATGGGGCAAGCTCTCATCTGTAGGAATTGATATAGATTTTGGAAACTTTGATCGATGTCAAAATTTAAAAGTGCCGAATTCAATAAACATTGAAACTCAATACTGTTTGGCCAATATTGCTGCAGGTTATTTTAGTATGAGAAAAATGTAAGATATGATATTGCTCTAGTGAATAAATATTTTTATATTTACTTCATTCACCGTTTTCAGTTCACCCGCTTGGCCGAGAGTGGGCATTTGTATTCCGAATTCTTGTGCACCATCACTTATCTCCACTATATTAAATGATTATTTGGATTCAAATTCTCTCCGAATAAGTATTGCCTCAAACAACTGTCGCTTAAAAAATGACAACACTACTCTTTTTTTCAGCTACAAAATTTTTATGTAAGTGCTATTCTTGCTGACTTTAACTTATTCAACTAACAACAAAGAAAAAACGATTTCTTTTTCAAAGTGCATTTCTAACAACGATACTTGGCTTAGTCATTTTGAGTTCGCTTTATGATGTTACGTACACTTTACTAGAAGGTAAGTGAAAATAATTCATTCCAAAATAATCTTCGATTGATTGACATCATCACTATATCATCCTAATTTGTCTAGCACGGAAAAATCCAGTGTTGTTGGCCTTTTCAGCGTACACAAACGGGAAAAATCTACTCGAATGCAAATCAAATCAATTGCCCAACGTTATGCCATGTTTAGATGGGATACGTGCAATCGCTGCATTTTGGATACTATCAACGCATTTCAATCTGTACACCACTAGTATAATTGAAAATGGAGAGCACGATGCATGTGTTGCTGACAAGATGAGAGACATTTTTTCTAGTGGCCGTTTTAGTGTGGATACATTTTTCGTCTTGAGTGCACTTCTCGCAGCTAATAAAATGCTCAACGAGCATTCAAAGTTGGTGACTCATTTCAAATATCATTTCTTTTTTCTAAACATTTTAAAAATCACGTTCTTTCAGAAATGGTCGACTGAACATTCCCCTTTTATACTTACAACGCGTTGTCCGCTTGTCTCCGATGATGATGGTGATCGCACTTTTCAACCGATTTTTAGTACAATTCTGCGCAAATGGGCCAGCATATAGTTCGCTTCTCGATGATACCAGATGGCTTTGTGAAAATGCAATGTGGGACTCAATATTGTTTTTCGCCAATTTTCGTAATATTCAGGTAGATCTGTGTAATGCTTCTGCAATATTCATGATGCTTTTTAAAACTAAAATTTGTTGAAAAATTGCAGTGTGTTCCAGGATCCTGGTATCTGGCTGCGGATATGCATATGTATATCTTGACACCATTTTTGGTGCTGCTATTGCAACGTTATCCAAGAAGATTCATGGGTTTTTCTTTTGTGATCGTTTCGATTGATTTTATTTTGTCATTGGATAAGGATCTTTTTGGTTTGGAAGGGTTTGTATTTCTGTCAAATACATTAGAAAATCCAAAGAGTCACATATAAAAATCGTTCAAAATTAGATACAACAGCTATGTTCCAACACGATCTCGCATCACACCATGGTTGATTGGAGTTAATTTTGCTTATATTTTGTTGCAAAATCGTTCAAGAAAACCTATCCGTATACCAAAGGTAATGGAAAAATCCAACCAATGAATATTTTTAAGAATACTGAACAAATCTGCACTCGTTACAGTTTTTGAATGCTATTCTATTGGCTGGATCAGTGAGTGTATTCCTTTGGTTTACATATACGTTTAGAGACGACGACTTCATGTGGAGGGCAAGAGCTTGGTGGTCAATATCTCTTTGTTTTATCATATTTTCATGCGTAAATGGTCAAGGCGGCATCATCAATTGGTTTTTATCGCATCCACGTTGGCAACCGATATCACGGTTAAGCTTCAATATATTTCTGGTTCATCAAACGGTTATCTGGGTTATATTAGCTAACCGGAAGGTGCCATTGTATTTTTCGGATATTACACAGGTAATAATGATACATTTGGATTGCAATTTCATTAACAAACGAATAAGCAATACAATTTCGAAACATTCAGGTGCAGGAACTGTTTTTGGTCGTATCGACTGTTTGTGGCGTCGCTTTCGTACTAGCATTGACAGTTGAAATACCGACAATGAACTTAAGTCGCATTTATTTATACAAAAATCGGAATCTTAGAAAGAGCAACCAAAATGTCCCGGAAGTAATTACATTTTCTTAAATGTTGCGTTTCTTTATTATTTCTGAAAAATATTTATGAAATCATGATTTTATTCAAAATTGAAGTTATAAGTATTTTGCGTAACTTCTTCCACGTTTTTTTTTAAATTTATTCACATTTAATTTTGATTATTTCGTTTTGTTTTTAAAATAAAACTACACAAAGTATTCCAAAAAATAGGTCAAATCATTCCCAATTCGTCAACTTCGAGAATCGTTAACCGTTGAAATTTTTGCAGAAAAATATATTAAAAAATTAAAGTAATTGAATTTGTTATATATGAACCGTTGCGACAAACAAATTCCCTCAGAATATTTTAGTTTCAAAGTGCAACATGGAATTTTGTTTATATCTATGGGTGAGATTGAGAGTGGAGTATGTTTTTTCTTCGATTTTTATTTTTGAAAAGGCGAGTATGTTTTCTGATGATTCTGTTGGCGTTAAAGTAGAGTATGTTGTAGTACCGTCTAGCCTCCGCGGTCTTCATGGTTTTCGCGCAACCGATAAGAGATAACAACATAGTGTCTTCGGCAAAGTTGTAGTACTTGAGGTCTTCTATAACTAAGCTGAAGAAAGTTATCTCTTATCTCTTATCAGTTGCGCGCAAATCACGCACATAAAAAAGCAAATTTTATATAGAACTTTTTTTTTCTTATCATTTTTCGCGCTTTTCGCGGAACTGATAAGAGATAAGAGATAACTGTCTTCAGCGATGTTATAGAAGACCTCGAGTGCTACAACTTTGCCGAAGACACCAAGTTGTTATCTCTTATCAGTTCCGCGGAAACCGTGAAAAACCGCGAGGACCCGCTAAAAACGAACATACTCGCTTTTAACCATTTTTAAGTCGACAGAAACTTGCTCTTCTCTTTCGTAACAAAGTCAATCAAACATACACTACTCTCAATCTCACCCATAGATATAGAGTTTACAACAACAACTCCATATGAAAAAAAACTTTATGTTGCACTTTAAAACTAAAATATTCTGAAGGAATTCGTTTGTCGCAATGGTTCATATATACTATAAAATATATACTAACATTGCCATATGCATAAAGAAGTAATATCAGCAAATAAGGTCACCAAATCGGAATCGACAAAATATCTACGAAAGCATTCACACCACTTGAAAAAAAACCTCATTTGTCTGTGTATATATGTGAACTTATTCAGCGGTTGACGTACGCAATATGATGCTGTGCGCATCAAACAGTCAGCGAACAACCTACCGGCTGCATACACGTAAGCGGATCGGTTATTCTTTTCGCGTTTTATTCTTCATTTGAGTGGTATATCATATGCACAAATATTTAAGAATAAATTGTGTTTGTTTTCGAGTGAAAATTTCTTTCAATGTGATTTCTTTTGAATGTAAACAATGTTCAAAGTAAAAAATATTGAGTGTCAATCAATTTAAATTAAAAATTAATTATCAAAATAAAATTTTGTTCATTAAATCAAGAGCAACTGTAGCAATGTGACCATACATTTTATAACTTGGTTTCTATACATACTTTGTTTCAGAGCGTTTAGATTCGTATTATATATACATCTGGAAATATCTTGGTCGTTCAATTCGGAATTCCGAGTGTCTACATTTTAATCGGTGACATTCTTTGGACAGAATTCAAGTAAAAATACAGTTCACAAATCACAATTATGCAACACTTTGAACTCTATTTTTTTGTTATTTAGCGCAAATCAATTGGTGTTAAAAATACAAAATGGATTCGAAACCCGTGGATAAGCTTCAATTACAGGATTTTTCCGATGAGGTCCTACTAAAAGTGTTCATGAAAAAAAATTGTTCATGAAAATCTATTTCACCAAACATTTTCCCAGCAGTGAAGGATTGAAGTCAAATGGTGCTGAGGTTGCAAAATTTAGCAAGAAGAATTGAATGTGTTTATAGATCTCATCAGAAAACGTGGAAAATATACCGCCAGTTGTCGGTAACATTGCAAAGTTAATGATTTTCATGCGCTGAGTCACACACATTTCCACCCATTCGACATAACCACAGATTGAGCTGAAAATTAGCAGCCAAGTGAGAAATGACAACTGTTTCTTGCAAAAAATTCTTTTATAGAATTAATTTCTATTGGATTTTGATAATACTATCGGACATTGCAAAAATTGTCCAGTCAGTTTTATTGACAAACACATGTTTTTGTTGCAAGTATATATCTGAACAGTGAACACCAATTCACCCGCACATTTTATCGGCTTCGAATACAACCTGATAGTTTGACAATCATTCTTCAATTTTTTGCGTTTTTTCTACATGTTTTGTTTTCTGATCAAAATGGGAAATTCTTCAACTCAACCAAAACCTCAATTGTTTTCTTTTCGTCAACAGATTTGGAAAGAAAAAGGCTGGAAACGTTTAATCATCCAAGTTCAAAATTACTGAAATCATAAGACGCTGAACGTGTGACAAACTATCGTTGATTTAGTTACGCAAGGCAATCGAGCCGTTGGTATTAAGGGTACGTATTTGATTGATCACAGACAGAAATATTCTGGAACAGTTGAAACATTAAAATTAAAGTTGAAAATATCTGCGATGAATAGTTGTGTAAGAAGGGGGACACTACAGGAATTTACTAATTACAATAATTTTTGTTTATTTTTCTCTCGATAAACTTTGAGGAGATAGAGGTGAGAAAAGCCTGAATAGAAGTACGAGCTTTGAGTTGTTCCGGAAGACCAAGTAATTCCGAAGACTGAAGAAAGATCCCCAATTGTTGCTCGAACACAACAAAAATGAAGTGGCAATCTCAAAATTAGCCAACAAGACGTTTATGATAATAACCAAATGCAAGCCGTCGAGCAGAACCAGAATCAAGTGGCTGCAGCAGAAGCAATTGAACCGAATGGCGAGCCTCAACCGTCGGTCTTCAAATTGGACACCGATTGCTGGGACGAAGTACTCGATTGCCTGTCGTTGGAGGATGTGCACTCGTTTGGTCAAACGTGCAAGGCTTTTCACCGTGTCACCGGCAAATATTTTCAATGGAAATACGTGAGTGCTTTAGCTTATTGCTACGAAGATGGCATTTACATCAATGACAAAAGAATGGATGGTTTCGATGAATTCGTCCAACAAATTTCGTTTTATGGTGTCACACTCAATTCAGCGTTTCATTACGTTGAAACCAACTGCAAAGCCGAAATCAAGCAGCTCAGTTTTTCCGATGTTGATCTTAATCAGGACATCAAGACAATCGAGAAACGTTTGGAAAAGATCGACAGCTTGGCGCTACTGTGCTGCAAATTCGATGAAGACATTTGGCAAACGCTTTTCGAATCGTGTACAAACTTGAAGCGACTAATATTTTGGACCTGCATTGATGAATCATTTGCTTGGCCAGTTCGAAAACACCCGACACTCGAACACTTGGAATTGTATACGTTTGGCTCATTTGATGGTGAAAGAATTAAATTGAAGAATTTTTTCAACCAATTCCCAAATCTCCGAAGCCTTCAAATCGATGCAAATGTGCAATGTGATAGTCAAGATTTAATTTCCGCTGCCAACGTTGATGACATGGCTATTGATATGAACAAAGACATCGATACCACCATTAGTTTCTTGAATGATATTCATCAGCGGGGCTTCTTCAAAAGGTTGCATTTAAAATGGGATTGGGAAGACGGCGTGCCTTCAGCTGAACAATTACTTTCGTTGCCCGGACTCGTTACACTGTACATTTTTCCGTACGGAAATGAAAATCCCGAATTTCCCGTTTTGCCCAGCATCAAAGAGCTTGGTATCAGCTTTTGCATTGGTATACCCATCAACACGGATGCCGTGGCCACCAGTTTCATCAACCTGGAGCAGCTTTTCATCACCGGCCCACACGATTTGCTGCCGTTCATTCGTCGATCAGCAAAATTAAGAGACGTTGAAATCGCTGAATTCGAAGGAGAAGCTCTCGACATCGCTGCACTGAACAAGGAACGCAAAAAGTTGGCGGGTGCACGCAAGGTGACCATTTATGTCAATGAACGTGTTTATTTGGCAACAAAATGGGCAACAACAGATACCTCGTTGGAACTGATCGAATTAAAACGTCAACAATCACGCGACATCGTTCGTCCGCACAGCTTTTGGCGAAGATTCCGACGGCTTGATTAGTTTATCAACTTTTTTTTATAATCCCAGAAAATAAATAGTAAACACCATCTAAGAGCTTCTCAACAAATCCATTACCGCTGAACTAAAAATCTGCTGTCATTTAGATTAATCGTAAGATGGAATTTCCTGATTTTTTTCTGGATACTTCAATATCTTCATGATTTCAAAAAAAAAAATTACGGTTTTCTGAATAGATTCAAAATAGCAAATAAATGTTACCAATTCTATCAGAATGTGTTTCTGTTCAATATCTTTTCTATGTGACAATTTGGTCAGTTTTACAGTGAGACACAGTATCACCTTGAATTCGGCGTGGTAATTGCATGTAAATTGTACACCATTATAGAAGTAAAAAAATGTAATTCTTATTACTTTATTACCTACTTATTACTTTAATAAGATTACCTATTACTTATTACTCATCTTATTACTTTGTAATAAGATGAGTAATGAGTAATGAGTAATGAGTAATAAGTCTATCTTATTACAGTAATAAAATGAAAGTAATAAGTAATATGTAATAAGTTACTTATTACTTTACTTTACTTCTATACCTCAAACATCCTTGAACATGCATTGCAATTTGCTTTGATCTAATTACGCAAAAATGTATAGATGAAGTATACGATACCCAAAAAGTCGATTGAAACCATAGGCGAAGAGTGAAAGGATGAATGCAGTAAAGAATCAGACGTCGGTCTGATGACATCATCAAAATCCCAGACTGTTTTGCGTATACATAACAGCAGCGAAATATGTATAGATATAGAAGCACATGCCAAAAGCCGACAATAAACAACGTTGTGAAATTCTGTTTATCAACAATGCATGTGTCAACTCTGTATATATATCTGTGTTAGTGAACTTATTCAGCGGCTGACACATGCATTCAATATATTCATATGGAATATATACGCAATATATTGCGTATGAAAACAAACCGAAGCTATCTGTCAGTCATTATTCGATTTGCCGAGCGCATACAAGTAAACTCAATATTTTTGTTTCATTCTTACTTATTTTCTTTGATATTTTGTTTGTAATCAAACATTTTTACAATTTTTTTTGTAAAACATAAGGATTTCTCTTGAAAGTTTGAATTTAAGACAATGAAAAGTGATCAATGTGTGTCGTGTGTTATAATTTAATTTGAATTTTTATCTTTTACAGTGTTCTGAGCTACTTATTTTGGAAAAACCCATAAAACCCGCTCAAGTTTTACGTTATTTAAGGGAAGGCATAAAATTTATCTGTTTAATTTGTGCAAACGAAATGAGTGCTGAAACAATGAGTGAAACCGGTTTCAATCTCCTTGATTTTTCGGATGAGATTTTGCTTGGCATATTTGCGAATTTCAACGATATTAATTTGTTGAACCTGATTCGAGTGTGCAAACGATTCAAAGCTATCGCAAAAGGTGCATTTGACACGAAATACAATGGTAATTCCGATGACAATTACTACGACATTAATTTCCATTCGAACGATAGCAAAGATGATCAAAAGCTGTATCGCACTTTCGTAAAAACTTTCGGCAATGAAATGATAGCCATGCGCCTAAACCTAGGCAGAGGATTTAATCGACACAAGTTGTTAACGCTAATAGGACGATGCTGTCGATCTACAAAATACCTCATCATCTGCTGTCCTCGATCCAGATTGAATGTTTTGGAATTGATTCAATCGATGTCTGAATTGATCAGTCTCACATTTTACGATTTTGATCGATTTGCAAATTTTGATTGGGTTGATATTCGTTTTCCTCATTTGAAAGAGTTGTACATCGGTGATGAGGGCCACTTGGATTTCAGATTGTTAAGACAATTCCTATGCATACATCAACAGCTAGAACATTTAAGTTTGATCAAGTGTCCAAGATTTCCATTGAGGGCGATTCAAGCACTCAGATTCAATATGAATCGACTGAAGTCGTTGGAATACATCGCTAAAGACAATAATTTCGGTACAAATTGCCGCGAAATGAAAACGGAACAGCCGGAATTGTTGAAAATATCCATTAATGGAGCATGCATTGAAAATGTTCTACGAATAACTGCAAAGCAAGCCACGTCTTCAATTGAACGATTAACATTGTGCTTAGACGACAATGGAAATGAATCAGATATCATAAATGAACGACTCGTTGGTGTTATGCCGTTGTTTGAGTGATTTACTTATTTGCGCCTGGAACAATTTGAGATATCACTCGATTTACTTCAGGATATTTCACGACTCTTGCCGAATCTAGTTTCATTGCATACATTTGGCGAAAAGCTTAATGGAATCTTGCCCAGTAATGCACTGTGTGTGTTCACAATGGGCAAAAATTTAATGGATTTATTGCTCGAAAGAAAGGACAATTTCACTGAACGGGATAACAGCATTGAAACTGATCAATTTGACTTGGATTTTCAAAAGAAATTCGTTAACATTGTCCAGAACCGTGGCAGTGATGCGAAACTCCGAATCATTCACGAAGAAGGGAAACTGATATTTACAAGTGATAAAATTGAAAGCAATGGTAAGTTGTGAAGCGTTGAATGGTCAAAAAGAGCATTTCCTTGAACTTGGTGCCAAATGCTTGGAAAATATTTTCATTTACTTAGATGAACAAAGTGAACGTGCACTGTACGAAACATATACTCAAACGAAAAAAGCAATGCAACAACGAATTAAGCAGCATGTTTTCCGTGTTTGTGATGTTAACAGTGTCATAGACACAATCAGCCGGTTCGGAGAACACATGACAAAATTATCGATTGACGTAAACACAAATGATCGTTTGCAGATGGCTCAAACGTAGGATTTAATCGTCGAAAAATGTAATATATGACCTTAACCGAATTACATTTTGTAAAAATTCGAGTCGATACAATGGAAAGTAATTTGAAGCCAGAATTTCCAAACTTAACCATGTTGAAAGTTATGTCAGTTATTTCGACTCGTACTCAGGTATTTCCATCGATGGTATGTCCAAAGTTCACTCATTTGGAGTTTCATTCCGGTACAATCAATATTCCAGCCAAAGCGAAGAATTTCGGTATCTCGGCTAACCTATTGAAAAGCATCCGACTAATGCACTTCAGTGATGGCATCGACAAAATTCTACGTTTTCTTGATCAGAAAATTTGTGATCAACTTCGTGAGTTTACTATTGAGATGAGACTGACGAGAGAAGAGCACCACCACAAAGTAGTTAACATACTAACGCGGTTTAGAAATCTCACAACACTCAGCTTTGACATTGGCCAAATTGAAATAGCGAATGCAAAGTTTTTATTTGAATCTTGCACGAAGTTAGTCAATCTAAACAAGGGATATCACTTCCGATGTAAGCATGACAAATATCGCCAAGTATTAAGACACATCAAACGGAATTGTAAACAATTGGAAGTGATGAATTTACATCAACTGTACGGCAACTATTTCGATGAAAGTTTTTTAACCGAAATTGTCAATTTGTTTCCGAAGGTGAAACTTTTTACCATCGCAGAAGACGAAGATTATTATTTCTATAAAGTAAAAGCCTTCGGAAAAGGGGCGAAAACCAACTACGATAAGCCATTTTAAGACGATGATCCATGCATGAATCGGTTTTAGTTCAAATTATGATTGATATGAAATGAAAAATTAATTAAAAATGTATCAAAAAACCATTACTTTTATGAATGTTTTGTTTTTAATTCACTTTTTTCTACTCTGGTAAAAGTTTTTATAACGAATTTCAACTCATCTTCCTTAGTTGACTTGTAGATAAATGAAATGTTATCATCATACTTTGTCGAATATTTTATTTTCAATAAATTTATTATTGGTAAAGGTATAAATTAATGTCGAAGATTTCGTAGAAACCCATTTTCGGTAAGTAATCAATACACATATTATAATAATGAACCAGTGCGTTCTCGCACGGTGTGCATCCCTGGAAGATACACACAATAGCCATAACAATACGTGTGTATGTACGATGACCGAAAATAAAGGCTTTGAAATCCTGTTTGTCAACAAAACTTTCTATACTATGTTAACATGTGTTTGAATGTACTTATTCAGCAACATACACATCACATGGAATGTTCAATCTCTGTTACTTTTCAGGGCGATTCAAATCAAGAAATCACTATTTGAATGGCGTAAATACGAGGGTTTAATACATCAGCCGTATACATTCAATGAGTATTATTGACTAAAATGTGGTTAAATTGAGCAATACTGTTCAGAAATAGCAATATGAAAACAAATCTGAATTGTTTAGAAGTTCAATTTCATTGCCGCTTGAAAGTGTTAACATGACCTACGCAATTTTTTATGCCATCAAAATAGGGTATATCATTTGACCGCAGTTCGGAGTTTGATGATGATAAACGAAGATATTTTTGTTTTTAATTCTTTGAATAGACCATTGTCAAGGTTATATTTTGGAAAATAATCACGGGTCAGCTCCAGATACTGCGGACGCGTTGTCGATGTATACTTCTTATCGTTTGTTTTAACCCGTTCATTCAACAATAAAATCCAAACGATTTTGAACACTTATTCACGCTATTAAATTGAAACGGAATTTGATTGTGATAAATATATAGAGATAAACGTTTGACGTGCTTTGATAGCCATTTTTTTTACATTCGGTTTATTTACTGCTTTCCATTTCTTTCAAGTAAGCTTTTACATTGTTTCAATTTTTAAAAACATTCAATTTCATTCCGAGATTCTTTATTTAATGCCAAATGAGACAGTTCGTTCCGAAATCAAAGTGAGCTCAACAATTCAGCAAATCAACTCAGACATTCCGTGTGACTGCATATCGAGCTGAGCTATTTACAAATAGCTGGCTGTTTGGTACATTTTGATTTTGTGACTATCGAGCCATGCAAATTCATGTGAGATGATAATTCAACAACATCTTGGCCAATCCCAACCTTTGCTCACGTACACTCTTTCTATTTCTGACGTCTAAAATGAGGAACGAAATTTAGATTTTTATTTTCATTATATTTTTTGTTTTATTTTTACCTTATTATTAGTGACAAAATAGGCAAAGGTGACGTTCCTAGGATCCAGGAATTTGATACATTTCGTGAACGCTGTTATATGGCTTTCGTATTTTTTGCATCCAGAATATCCGTAAAATAGGGAGTCACCTGTAATTATTCAAGTAATTCTTATCATTTTTTTCTCTTGATTTATTGTTATTGTTGTTATACTTCAAAACATCTATTCTATATGCTTACAATCAACGCGTTCACCAAATGTATAGTTTTGCACAACGTGGGCTGGTAGCGGTTCATCATCATCATTTGCAGAGCAGTCAACGAAAAAAAGAGCTACAAATATTGCCACGATCATTGTCACAAGCATTCGACGGAATATTTAAAAAGCATCCATTATCAAAAGTGGTTAAAATGTATCTAAACCATATTAGTTCGCTATATTTCGACTTTATATGGAGTATCATTGCAATTATCATTATTTTCAAGCAGAAAAACTAGTAAGCAAAACAATGTAATTATCTGAAAAATCAAACACGAGCAACAAATTTCGATCGTCTCTTTTGGCACGTGAAATAAATTAGTGGAATGAACAATGCCTGAACAATGTCGATCAGAGCTTGATTTTTTTTTTTTTGAATTGTGATTTGATCAATTTGTTCATAAAATTTAAAATGCGTTTTTTCACACTTTCTCTCGTCGTTTCAATGGAGCAACGAATGATAAAAATTCAAAAATTTATTTGAATATTCGAATTTCACGATAAATATATACATTTTGTTTGAAAATTTGCTCTTTTTTTCTTGGTATTGTGCTTCTTTTCATCGACGAAATGCGAATATATTTGATGTTGTTCATCAACGGTTTCTTCCATTCCATCGGAAACTTTCTCATTTTCAAAAGCGTTTCCATGGATTTTTGATTTTCAATTTCCAGGTCATAGTTTCCACGCTAAATCCATCTGTCGAACAGATCTCATCGCTTTGTGTCCTTACGTACAAAATGATGTTTTTTCAGACAATCATTTGCCGAGGCATTCTTCGTTTCAAACCCTATCGTTCACTGTAAGGCAATAATTACTTTATGATGCTATTTCAAACTAGAATCTCATAAGCTTACCGAGCTGAATCGCCGAATCATAGGTCTGCTAAAAGTCCTATGCTTGGAACTGTGGGGACAATTCATGTATGTCCAACATTTGTGTGCCTTAGTAACATTGCTCTCATCAAAGGGATCTTTACAAAACTGAGACATTTCTGTGCTTGGCTGGTATCTCCAATATTTCGAGGCAAATGCTGAAATATTTTATTGCATTATGGTTTTATTTTGCATATGACCATATTCAAATTCACGTTTTCAAAAATAAAAACTCGATTTTTCATTTGCAATTTAGTATATTCACAGTAATTATTACGTTGTACTTACCTTTGTGGAATAAACCAATTATTGTTAGAATAACGATTAGAAAAGTGAACATCAACCTTCGCAGAACCATTTTTTTTAATATGAAAAAAGAAACAAAATCACTTGAATGATGAAATTGTATCATGCGCCCTAGAAGTATTCTTCCAAACTGATTAATGCAAAGTCTAACGTTCATTTAAGTAGCAAAGTTCGAACACTCAAACTGTATTCATTGCTTCTATAGATCTTATGTAATATTGCTCAACTTGAAAATCAGTATATAATAAATTCACTTATCAAGGGGCTATTGATGCGTTTTTGTCGGTTTCATCATACTTATCTTATCATCGAAGACTGAACATTTATATTATCTTTAATTTGTTAGATTCTTAAAAGGTTACGAGTATAAATTTAGCGGGCGTCTAGTCTAGGTGCCCCTCCTGCTTTCTACATGTCATTTAAATGAATAAGACGTGGTCAACGATGTCATTTTTTTCGGACTTTGATTTTAATTCTCAACTGTGCATTTATGCTGGTCATGAAACGAAAAATTATCAGCTTTTGTATACAACAGGTTGACACTAACAGACAATCAACATGTACAAAATGGGTGTAAACAAGCCACCAGAAAATATTATATATACAACCATTTGATATATTGCTTTATACAGTTGTTGGCACTCTATAGAGTGTGCGATGTGATATTCTCCGATTATTTTCAGCAGCAAATAGGTTCAACAATTTAAATTTGTAAGTATAGAAAGTACGAACCGGAAGTTAATTTTGAACTTTTATTTTTATTTTTTCGTCAATTCTTTTTCAATGTTTCATTCAATTTGATTTTATCCTATATTTCCTTCTCAAGCCAGGTCATAACTGTTTTCAAATCCATACATTTGAATGGAGAAGCAATAAGAACGAACATTTTCGACTGTAGGACAGAATTCGACCATTTCTTGGTCAATTCCACCCTTGCTTATATACACATTTTCGATTTCCGTTGTCTGGAATGATGAACACGAATCAATGGATTTTATTTTTCAATTATTTTTTGTTCAATCGCTACCTTGTTAGTGACAAAATAAGCTTAAGTTACGTTCTTAGGATCGATGAATTTCGTACACTTCGTGAATGCAGTTACCTTGCTACCATAATTTCTGCATTCGTAATATTCATAAAATGGGTGATCAGCTATAATATTTATATAGTCTTTCTGTTACTCCGTTTATATTTAATTTTGTGTGCACTCACAATCGATACGTTCTCCAAATGTGTAGTTTTGCTCCACACGAGTTGATAACGATGCATCATCAGAGCAGTCAGCGAAAAAAACTGCAACGACCAATGCCACAATCATTGTCACAACTGTTCTACGGAATGTTTCATCATCTCTGAAAAGCGGTCACAATTCAGTTAAAATACTTTAATAAGCCACATTTCGCCTTTATCGAATTTTTCTCACTATTTCACAGTTTAGAAAAACTAGGAAATCATCTGAAAAATCAACACGAAATGTACAATGAATGGAATAATAACCAAATGTATAAAAAAAATCGTTACAGTGACAAAAAGCAATACTATGATGCACTATAGTGTAGACACGCCAGTGCTGGCTTGGAGTTATCTTCTTTCGGTAGCATGAAGTAGCTATTTTGAGGTAGCTCTAATTCATATTCAATTTGTGTCATATGTCGGAGAGATTTTTGCTGTAGTCACTAAATGATATCGACAGCCCCAAAGAGGTATCAAATGACTCTGGATTGCGTAGTTAAATATTCATATGACATAGTAGACAACTGTAGTAGACAACTCTATTGACTAGATCGAGAGGAGAGTATGTGAAAAAATTCGAATATATTTTGAAAGAGGAGAGTATGATTTCTGTTGATTCTATCTGCGTTAAAAGGGAGTATGTTGGCAACCCGTCTAGCCTCCGCGGTTTTTCACGGTTTCCGCGGAACTGATAAGAGATAACAACATGGTGTCTTCGGCAAAGTTGTAGTACTCGAGGTTTTCTATAACAATTCAATTATCTCTTATCTCTTATCAGTTGCGCGCAAATCGCGCACATAAAAAAGCAAATTTTATATAGAACTTTTTTTTTCTTATCATTTTTCGCGCTTTCCGCGGAACTGATAAGAGATAAGAGATAATTGACTTCAGCAATGTTATAGAAGACTTCGAGTGCTACAACTTTGCCGAAGACACCAAGTTGTTATCTCTTATCAGTTCCGCGGAAACCGTGGAAAACCGCCAAAAAGAACATACTCGCCTTTAACCATTTTTGAGTCGAAAGAAACTTACTCTCCTCTTTCGTAACAAAGTCAGATGAACTTACTCTCCTCTCGATCTAGTCAATAGAACTGTAGTAGACAAATGAGCTTTTTCAGCGAAGCGCGGATTGGAATTGATAAAGTAAATAAATGAGGTAAAATAATGAATGTTTGAAATGAATTACTTCTCCACATTTGCTTTGTTTTTATCTTCGGAAGGGTTGTGACGTTTTTTCTACAACATTTTGGGAACAGAGAAAATATGAAATCGAGATTCTTCATGTGACTGATATCGTTTTAGTAAGTTAAAATTTGTTTCTTAACAAACAAGAAGTCGGTGTTCAACATTTCAATTCGTTCTTGAAAGACCCATGAACGTGAAACTCGTAGCAAAAGAAGCGGTTCGCACTGATTTTTGTTCACATCAGAGTTTCTTTTTATATTCAGAAACACCGATCGATTGAACGAAAAGGAATGAGTATGTGAAAATATAATCAAAGATTTCAATATCGATTAGATTAAAATTTATTAGGCACAAAATTTACTGTATTGCTTGTGCCGGAAATGATGATCACAATCTCAAGTGGGTTGGCTATGAATTTCGGAATTTTGTTAAACGCGATCATGATTTTTTTTTTGCAAATTTTAAAATGTATTCGAATTTATTATCTTTTGGGTTATCTAAAATATTCCAGGACTTTTTTTACATTTTTAGTAGTAGTGCCTGCAAAGTAAACTAATTACAAACTAATTTTAAAATTCTTCCATCTTCTCCACTGAAAAAATCACACGATCAAAATATCAAAAAAATAGTTAAACTGCACCTCGTCTGTAAAATCGATTAGATAAGATTATTTTTTGCATTGAATGTCTCTCAATGTTCAATTATTATTGGCCGTTAAATATTTCCTAGAAGCATGCGATCACTCCTTATTTGACCGTTTCACCCACTTTCGTTGAATGTTCAGATAGCATACAAAATCGAAGACGAAACTTTGTTCATTTTTTCATAAATCGATCAAGTTGTATTGCACTCAGCTATGAAAATGTGTTCCTCAGAAAATGTCTCAGTTCATTTTCAATTTTCTTTCGATTAATTTGAAAATTCAATGCATTTCAAAATAGAGTTAAAATATATCATCAAAATAATGGTTCAGCCAGTTTAATTTTCAAATAGCAACGAATAATGTGAACGAACCTCCGATTCTGAAAAACGTCACTATCTGTCACGAATGAAAGCATTGACATATAAAATATGACATAACCTCAAATTTTCATAACAAACATATTCTGAGTGAAGAAACAAAATATTTTAAATTAGTTTGCGTTTTTTCACATATCATTAAAGAATGGCTTTCAATTTGTGCCGGAGAACGTTTTCAACGTTTTCAACGATTAAAAAATGGTAAGCAATTATTAAAAACAGTTTGAATAATGAATAGAACTGTGAAAAGTGCATATGGATTTTGTGTTTCTGTGTTTAGGCACGTGTGTTGAATGCATTGATAAACAATGCAATCCAATTGGTTTGGATATAAACTGAAGCAAATTGCAATAATCATTGTATTTATCTTTCAGCTCTGTGTTATTCAAAGCCCAGCCCGTGCTCAAAAGTCAAGCTGCAGTCACCAGTAAACTGATACCAAACACAAATCTAATCTTGCAAACTGGATTCGCAACTGAAGAGGTAATTTTGATTTGTTTCAATATTTGAATCGTTCAACATTCGGCATACATTTATTAATCTGTTTCTAATTTCAGCGACCGCGATTGGGATTGCGCAAACAGAATTTGCCTCCATTCCCATACATTGAATGTGTCAGAGAATTGGTTGTCGAAACTTTTTTGCCATCACGGTATAAAATCGTTAAATACGGCGACTATGAATTCCTTGAATCAGACGATGGATACGTGAATGTTTACGTTCAAGGTTACCAACATCCAAGAAATCTTGATGCTAAAGCAGGATATGCCGTTTACTTCCTCGAGAACCATCCACTGTAAGTATGGTTCCATTTTTAAAGTGTAATATGGCCAGAACATCGATTCCATTCTAATCTAATCAATCGTTTTAATTGCAATTTCATTTTAATAGAAATTCGTACGGAAAAGTGGAGCGTCGACAAAAATTAAACCATGCCAAACTGTATAGCTTTTTAATGGCCATGCAACGAATCCCAAAAGGTCTATTCACAAAGGTGTGCATTTGCGTTGACGAGATTCCACTCATCACATTCATCGACCGGTCGTTGCGAAATATGAGCGAGAATTCGTTTCGCAGCGTTCACACCGGCAAATTGAACAAGGATCTAGAGACGAGTATGGGCGTCAACAAAGAGATTCGAATGCGACAAGATTTGACACTTCGACTGAAATATGTGCCCAACGATATCGGCGTGGATGGCATGTACAGAGCAACAAAATTGGCAACCAAAGCAGCACAGGATGCAACACAAGAGAGTAGGCTACAACAAATTGAAACGAAGTACGAACGAGATGAAAACAATTAATTGGGTTTAAATTGAATCGAGGACATATATATGTTGATTGAATTGGAAAAGGACGGATATAAATATATGTATTCATGAATTTAGAATAAATGAAATACGAAAATTTTACAAGCTTCTGTGTACCAGACTCTAGCATTATTAATGGAATCATTGAGAATTTCAATGACAAATACTCTATTTTCGAATTATTATCCAGTCTTCGTAATCACAGCCAATCTTATGGGAATTAATACGCCACAAACTGCATACATTACGTTATCGTCTCAGCCATGGTTTATTTTTATCAACTCAACGTGTTTTGTTATTGAATAACCGATGGTAGAACATCTGAGAGAACGACATTCCATACCCACTGAGTCATTTACTTTATCAGACATTATTGCCGAATGATAAACACATTATTAATCTTGTCATGTGACACGAAAATTGCACATGTTCATTTTATTGATGCTTTAAAGAGACAGTTTGTTTATTTTTTCTCTCTATCTCTCGTGTTGTATTGAAGAACATACATACAAATAAATAAATTCATTTTTCTGCGCATTGCATTCTCATTTGTTTTCTCTTTACAAAAATAAACTTCTAATAAAATAACATTTTGCTAGATAAATTTTACACGAATATCAATAGAACGATCGAGGCAGAATACTGTGTTCGTTGCGACGCTTGTCATTTATCGATAGACGAAAGACATACTACGATCGATTGTTTGTGTCGCGCGCGTTCATGTCTCTCTCACTCTCTCTCGACTCGGATACAAAATGAACGGGTAAAAAGTGTGTATCTTGAGCGGCAATACGTCTTTTCCTTTACAATTCAAGTCTAAGCTAATCAAAAGTAAACATAATTTCTTTATCTAATATTTTACAAATTAATAATCGTCTGTTGTAGAGAAAAAAAAACCCGCGACTTGATTTGTGTATACGTGTTTGTGTGTGTGTGTTTTTTTTCTTCATACGAATAAAAGTTTATTATTTGCGTTGACGGTGAAACTGTGATCAGTGCCACTTAGCAGGAGATTTGTAACGGTGCCGTTCTTCGAGGCGGTTATACGTGACGTCAAACCATTATTATTTGTTATTAATGGCTTATAAGGTATGCCGCCACTTTCTTTGCGACTCGGAAAAAATGATGGCAAAATATTTGTTGCCTGTTTTGATAGATGTTTGGCCTACGAATGGATAAACGAAAAACATGGATTATTACTCAATCGCAATTAATAATGAAAAGCCGGTTTTTTTTTGACACGCTACACTTAGCGCATATAAAAAAGTACTTACACGATTATAACATAACACGCCCAAAATGGCAAGCATCATTCCGAAAATGTTTGTCCACGTGACCGGATTTCCAAGCACCAGCAATGATATGGCAATTACAAATATACGCTTTGACGCCGATGCAACGGCATACGTCAGAGGCGTTACCAGCGACAATAGACTAAACGCAATGATATTTTGAAGCCAATTCAAAACACCGTCAGCAAACAATAACGCTATCACTTTGTAGTCTCCATTTACCTAGGAATGTAAATAAAAACAACATCGATCCGATTAGTAAAAATCAAATAGACTCTGGAATGGGAGTAAAAATAGACATTTGCTGGGTAGACTGTTTGGCGACAGTACACTTTTACTTTCGATCATGGAAAATAGTTTCTTGGGACAAATTTTTTGGAAAACTGAATCATTTTTAGCTTGAATCATTGGAGGTATTGATGGATTATTTGACGATAGCTTCCATTATTCGATTAAAATTGAATGAAAATCAATAAAACCGGTTCAAAAATCCGTTGAAATGATCTTAGCTAAACTTTTTGCATCAAATTCTGATTTTGCCAATAAATTTAATTTTGAAAGCAATGAAATTCCCTGAAAAAAGCGCATAAAATTGACTTACAATTGCTGGCTCGCGAATAATCCTAAAGAAATCCATGTATAGCCAAACGGGAAGGAAAAGAAACAATGCCAAGCGTCCAAGGATGTGCAACAGTCGAAGGTGATGAATACCGGTGTCTTTCAGCACTTTTTTCGAGAAGATATTTTGCATTGAGAATCCAAGTGTGGCGGACAGTGCACAGATCAATCCAATCATATCAAAGGATAATTCAGTCATAGTTGCAATTCCAACGCCGGCAATGATCGGTATTAGGCTCAAGTACACCGATGTTGATTGTTTTTCTCTGAAGAAAATCCGTGTCAAAATCACTGTGAACAACGGCATCGTCGCTTTAACTACAAAAAACAAAATGGAAATGGAAAAACAAAAACAAATTATTAAATAAAAATGTGTTTTTATTGTGGATGAAATGCAATAACATGATTTGGCAATTGCGTCATAATGAGACGAAGATTGAGCACACAAAAGAGAGAGCGAGCCGGAATTTTTTTTCTTTTCTAATTTGATGTCGTATTGCGTAGTGATTAATCACGTTACCTAGACAACAAATGTCAATTGCTGCAAATGTACACGAAAGGCAGAATGATCCATTCCAATTGATCTAGTTTTAAATGAGATATCGTCAATTTTATCGGTTGCCATTTTCACAAACAACAACAACAAAAAACATATTGGCTTTTGTTACGGATATGGCGAACGAAGTGAGTGAACGAAAATAAAATAAAAATCAGGCAACAAATGCTGTGTATTGTTTAGCCGTAACACACATTAAAATGCAAATAAACACACACGGACGACGAGAAGAAAACGGGAGAAAAAAACGTGGACGAAGTCATTCATTATTTTGATTTAGCAAGCACACACATATGTGTGTTTGACGCATGGTTTGGTTTGCACGATTAGCGCGGTACGGCGGTCACTGTTAATTACAAAGTAAAAGTGTGAGTAAAAATGTATGTTGTGTGTTGTGTTGTTGGCTGACCTTCGAATGGTTTAAATTTGGATCAACTAAGCATTTTTGCCTACGTTGCAACACTGCTTGAACGTGGACATACGGTGTGTCTGTGTGTTAATTAAACGGTGTCTACAGATGTTTTTTTTTTGTTGTTCAGGTTTCTTTGCATAACATACTCTATTGCCTTCCTGCTTTCGCATACAATCTTCTAATGCACAATATGGAGATCTCAGCAGATGGAGAATTAGCTCAATTTCATTTTATGAACAATAACTCATTACATATTTACCAGAGAGAGAACAAGATCACCATAAAGAAACGTTATCAATTAGGTGTATGGCCAACTGTGATATTTTACTTACCCGTGTGTGCATACGAGACAGTAATTTTCCAAATTGATATATGCGATGTGACGGAAGCGAAAAATTTTCCCAACGCCAACGGAATGATCAATTTGATGTAATATCTCCATGAGATGTCTGAATATTTACGAACACCCCATAAGTTAAAAAACGGTCCACTGTACAGTGTGATTGATGTGAGTTGGACCATGGTGACGGTCATTGGATACGGAAAACCGCTCAATACCAATTTTCCGATAACATTATTCGAGCTTGATACAACGTACCAAACTAAACACAATGCCGCCACATTGAAAATTTGTTTACTTTTTTCTACCGTCATTTTTCACACACACTTTATTTTCCCTTTTTTTTACTTCTTTTCTGTGTTAATTTTCAACTAAGCACTTGATATATATCTAAACTAAAAATATAATTTATGAAAATTTATTTACACGTGCCCATTGAAAATTGTTTACACATTCCCTAAAGTGTATTGTAAACGAGGTGAAAGTGAACTCTATTTAGGATTTATTTATACAAATTCTATCCATTTTCTATGCAATTAAATATGAATGTTGCGTGAGCGTGGAATTTGATGACTTTCCCTAATTAAATCCGGTGAAATGAGGGATTTTCACACAATTTTCCGTCGATGTCGTCGATGGATTTTCGAACTATTTTATTCCTAATTTTACGATTTTGACCACGCACACACAACAAACCACGACGACAATACACAAGTGCTAAATCGTATCTGACGGCTTTTGACACATCTCGGCCCAGTTGATTTTTTTTTTTGGCATCGTAATCAAGATAACATTGTACACGCGATTGCTCAATGACATTCCGAATAGTTTCGATGATATATGCTTACGGCTATTGTGTGTCCCTATTGACAAAAGTCGTTGGATTCGGTTGAAATGTTTCAAAGAAAGCCGAAGAATTGAAGATGATTTAGAATTTAAAAAAAGAGTTTGTTAATTATTTTCACGTGAAAATATTCGCAAAAATAATTATTTTACCGACTTTAAACTCATTAATTTCCATTGAATTGAATGGCAATTTTAAAACTATGGCAAATTTACCATGCGTCTCCACTTGAATGAGACAAATGTGTGTACTTGAATTGGAATTGGGTTTTTTGTTTGCATTCTCACACGAAAACTAATGTGTGTTTGATCGTGCATGTGCACGTTGACTGCTTGGCTGATGGTGGATGTGTACGTGTGTGAGTACGCGCGCGCCTAGGTATATGTGGTGTATGGAGTTGGAATGCTGTGAGGACGCTGTCATATGACGGGTACAACTGTTGTTGTGTTGAAGCTATAACCGTATGGTTCGATCGTTGAAAATTCGTTGTAAAGAACGGGCATGGAAATATTCTCATTGGTTCTGCATGTACGTACACGACCGTGCATACGGAATGCAAACATGAACATAGGCATTCGTCATTGGCGTCTGTGTATCGATGTGTGTGTGTGAAGTTTCAGTTAGGGTCCGAGTGTTCTCTGTGTATTTTTCATCTTTCTGTTTCGTTTGTTCGTTTAACGATTCATCCGCTCTCCTACTTATGACACTCGTTGGTGTATGCTGTGTGCAGCACGATCTCAACGGTCTTTCGCACACATACACATGCACTACGCAACAGCAGCAGCAGCACACATTTTTCGGTTGTACAAATAAATTGGAAACCATTGAGTCAGTTCATTTACAGCATTTGAAACGGAAAGGCTGTTGGCGCAGCGACCAAGGATCGTGACTTTTGTTTGTTTATCTGATGTTTTTTCTTTTAAATGTTTTTTGGTCGGGCGTGGTGTAAATAGAATTATCGACAGACAGAAAAAAAAACCTAGACAAAACTAATAATAATATATTTTGTGATCGAGAAACGAGCGATAAATGCGAAAAAAAAAATTCATGTGCGAGAATTATCTATTGTTTTTTTCCCCTTCAATTATATCTGTTCGATGCGATTCGAAATTTGTTTATTGTGCGATATTTAATCGAAATTGAGTGTTGAGTGAAGTATAAAAAGGCAACGAAAAAAAAGAAGAAATAATAAACGCAATCAACTGTTCTAATATAAATCAAGTGGACCGAGTCAGGCCCAGCTCAATAAAATTAAACATATAATATATATACACCAACGGATACGGTACGAGCAAACGCCAGAAATAAGACAACCTAATCGAAACGTATGTAAAATTAATTGAGAAGTTGAACAGAATAAAAACGAAACGAAGCAATTGAAGGGAAAAAAAGACACACTGTAAGATATATATACGTACATATATTCTACACACATTCGAGTCGAAAGAGAGCGAGCGACATCAAAAGTTCAGGCGCTGGAGAAAAAAAATATATCAGAATATAAGCGAGTGATTGTTTTGTCGTGAATGCGAGAGAGTGAGCCTGATGCGAGAGTGTTTGTGAATGTGAGAGAGTTTTGTCGGAGGCAATCGAGAAACAACAAAAATAATAATAAGAAAAAGAAGAAGAAGTAGTGAAGTTGAAATTTAAGCGAAAGAACGAATCGTGTCGATGTTTAACGAATTTTTTCTGCTGGAATTTTTTTTTTCGTTTACTTCGTTTTTACACTTCTTTTTGTCTGTTTTACGAGCGAAATAAAAAATAAAAGAGTACAGGAAAAAAAAACGAAGAAAATTCTTCGGGTCGTGTTGTGTGCTTGCACATCAAATTCACCAAATTCGTTGACTGTTTTATATTTTGCTGTCGGTCGTTCTCGCGCAATTCCAGTTATTCGAAAGAAAATTGTTTGTTGAACGAAAATTAAACATAAGACAATCTTTTTTTTTTTGTTGTTTGACAACTGTTCCATTCGCTTGACAATCATCACGTTTGTGTTTCAAAACTTTTGGAAGCACCAAAAGCCCAAAACGAAAAATGCGACCAGAAGGCAAAATATTGAGACAGCAAGAGAGAGAGAGAGAGAGAGAGAGAGAGAGAGAGAGAGAGAGAGAGAAAAGAAGACAGAAAGAGAGCGAGGAATAAGAAGAAAAGAAGTAATAGTGTTGGCTCGAGTGCTGAGTACTTGGAAGGTACAATCACCCAATAAATGTCGAATTTTTCCAAGGAAACGAAATTAGACACTGGCAACTGCATAAGCCATTTGCCATTTCAATGGTATTGAATGTTCCATTGTACAGGCCGTCATCGTAGTACACATATAATTGTGTGTGGTGCACATTTCCACTCGAGTACACACACACACACACACACACACACACTCACACAGTCAAACATACAGATACACAAACATACAGACACATACGCGCGCTTACAGAACAGACAATCACCGCTCACTCCATGCTCTTGTGTGTCGTCACTCTCCGACTTACTCACCAAAAATTCATTGTCGCACCATCTTTTATTCAATGTTCTGTTTGTGATATTTGCTGTTGTTCACGTCGATGAAAAGAAAAGATCGCCCCGAATATATACAATATGCGAAAAGGTGTAGTGTATGGAACACGGCTAGCACATTGCCATTGAGAGTTCGTTGCAAAAATACACACAGACACACGAAGAAAAAAGACGGCAAAGAAGAAGAAGAAGAAAACGAGATTGAAGCCTCTTGTCAATAGGTCCATATGTACAGCGAACGCGCGGTCACACAAAATTCGTCACAGAAATAATCAAAAAGCATTTCATGTGGCAGAAAAAAAAAATAATGTCTATAATGAGAAGTGTTGCGCTTGTAGCGATTTGGGATTTCTTTTCGCTGGCTGCTTTTTTCCTCTTCTTCTTCTTTTTCGTTTTTCGGTTTCTCATGGATTTTTGTTCATTTATTATTTTGCCGCATCGTATTGAGAGTTTCGGTTTGGAAAATAACGATGACGGCGACCATGACGGTTACAAAGCGAACGCGCGCGACCACAGAATGACGATGAACCGAAAGAGCGAGAGAGAAAGAGAGAGAGAGAGCGCGCGGACTTTTCTATATACATGTATTTGCTTTGGATTCATTCGTTTTACGTTCTTCACTTGGTCTCTCGCAATCTCAACTTTTGCTTCGCCTATATGAGCCATCGAACGGCTGCTACTTTTTTTTTATCTTTGGTTTAAATGTGCCATAAACCAGATGGAAATGAAATACACTCACAACAGAGGCATGGCAAAAAGAGAATAAGAATGAAACGGTCACAAATGGCAAAAGAAAACATGAAGAAAATAAAATTGAAGAAGAAGACGAAAAAAAACAACAAAACACACGAAGTGTATTGGATACATGTCTCGGCGCGAGTTTGTTTAGTTTGATTTGCACAGTTGTACCTCTGTTCCGCGAAGGTTCAATGCGTATGTGAACTTTGAAAAGCATGCCTCGAAATATCTATTTCCACCAACCGACCGACCGACCGACCGTGTTTGTATGTGTACATAATTCTGAGCCATCAACGCCAAAACGACGAGAAATGAAAAGAATGAAAAGAAAAAAAAACTACCGTCAAGCACCCAGACGAGAATCAATCAATTTTCTTTCACATGCATGAAATTTCCATTGGAATGTGCGAGAGAGCGAGCCAAGCGAGTGAGTGAGTGAGTGAGTGAGTGTGTGGCTGGGGCCACCGCGTGCGTTAAACTATAAACATCTAAATAGCTTGACATAGTACCTACGACTTTATACCACCGCTTTATATTTCAGTCGACTGTTGTTTTTTTTGTCTTTCTGCTTGTTATTTTTTTTTTTCGACGATTGTTATTCATCTATTTTACAAGGTTCACGCAATGGAACATACAATGCACATTTACACATTTCAAGTATATGTAATTAATTTATTTATTATTTTCGGTGGATTTTTCCTCTCACGCCCGCAGATTATGTGGCGTTAATGTTCGTGCCGATGCCATTCTGTTGCAACAGTCATAAAACTGTTTTTTCTTAACCTAAGAGCAAAAAAAAAACCAAACACACACAGACTGAGGCCTAAATTATGCACGGAATGAGATTTTATATGGCTGCTTTTCTCATTGAGAGCGATTTTGTTGTTTTTTTGCTCTGTCGTCTCGAGTTCATCGACAATTTACGTTTGTGACAATCGGAAACGAAAGACACACGTAAAAAAAATTGTACAGAAAAAGAAGAAGCAGAAAATGAGAAAGACAAGATAAAAAAAAATCGTCATACACATGAGATATATACACACAGGCACACAACACACACACGTATTTTATTCGGGAAGGTAACATCAGACGGCCTTTCAAAGTCATTAAATACTTTTGCGTAATTCACGTACAATTGTGTTTCGTTTCGTTGCCCATGTTTTATTTCGTGTTGTGATCCACAAAAAAAGGCACAATAAGAACAGCCACACAGCGCTG